TAGACGCAGGGAGAGTGAGACTTTTAGTAAAAGTTATTAAAAACTGAATTGAATTGGTCAGCATGCGGAGTCTAACAAAAAAATTCCATTATAGCAACACTTTTAAAATTATCTTGTTCCGCTTATATTTTCAAAAAGTTTAATATTTGTCCTAACATTATGGTCTCTTTTATAATTGGTTTTGAAATAAATGTTTGTGTTTTAGTGTTTTTATGGTTTTCATCTATTTTATTTTGCTAAATCAGCTGGCTTTGATAAATTTCCTATAAAAATTTGGGAAGACAACGATTTCGTCAAAATTCGCATCATAATTGAAAATGAATTACCAATTTTTGGCGCAAACAACGTAATTAGCGTGCCGTGGAAATGTCGTACTTACATCCGCACAACATATCCTTTCGTCTGTCTGCAAAGATGTTTATCACACATAAGCATGAGGTGGCAGAAGGACAAAAGCAGAGCCGAGAGAAATGAATTCTGCGGAAAAAATCTAAATTTTCAGATCACTCACGATAACGTCACTGGCGCCGTCATACATGCACCGCGGTGAGTTTTAATTTTTAAAGTTGACACGAAACGCTCGTTTAAGTTCGTGAGTTTTTCCAGAACCATAGAAATATTGGAATTTTTCGATCGATCGGAGTTATCGATACAATTTCTTCTCAAAAGGCTGAAAGGCCTAATTTCTGATTTGATGAAAATTCGCAGCACACCAGGGTTTAGCATTTGTGGTTAACTGCTAATTAATTTTTATAAAGAGTTTTTTATATCATATCAGAAATACTCTCTGATGCATTGACATTCTCTGTCCTCCAAGTCCTCAAACTAGTGGTTTAGCAGCTTGATGTTTTTCCAAAAAATGGAGGGACCTACACTACGCCTCCTCCGAATGGCTGATGGTTTTTTTTATGAGGAGCTTTACTTCATATCAAAAATACACTCGGAGGGGTTGACATTCCCTGCCGAGGGGCGAACGCAATTGGAAAATTTAACTTAATTATTTCTGTTGGTCTGGTCGGAGTTCGAACAAATAATCCGAAACATGCTAGTACATACTGCTAACTACTCGACTTCCAACACATATATTAAATAAAGTCATAAATGCATTAAATTAGACAATTAAATAAAAGTATAATTCTATTTAATCACTTATCTGACTCGCAGTTAAGTCAAACTCGTATATCCTTGTATTCTGGAACCCAGTTCAGATTTAGCGTGTAGTACGATGCTAGCCCCGCCAACAGGTCAAAATAATCTTTCAACATCTCTGATGTGATCCTAAATGACTTTAGTAATGTCAAGGCCATTTGAATACATCTATACATATACTTTTTTTGTAGCAGAACTCTCTTCTTAGAACCTCCAGATTCTCTTTGACTGAAGCAATCTCTGAATGAAAAATACTGTATTGGTCTGGTAGGCAGAAGACAGTTATGATGACTAATTTTGACGAGAAGACATAACCTTCTACTCGATTATCTAATTTGGATCCGTGCGGATGTCTTTGGCTACTTCCTTTTATGCCATTATCCGACTTCGCAGCCAGTTGCTTGTAGTGTAAGTCTATGGACAGTGAATGCAGTATAACATTACATGCCTGAGTTGGTGTTTTGTTAAGAGCATCTCTCCTATGTAAATTTTCCAGGGACTTTACTGTGCATTTCCATTCAATTATTGGCCGCCAAACCAATATATCCTCATAAAATTATTGAAATTTCGATTAACAGGCCTATTCTGTCGAGGTAACAAAATTTACCTAGGTATTAAAATTAACCATTCAGTAAAATTTACCTAGGTATTAAAATTTACCATTCAGTAAATTTTGTTACCAGCGAAATAGGAGGTAACAAAAATAACTGCTGTTTGATTTTGTGCTGATAGTTTCAGAAAAAAATATATAAATATATATTAGGCCTGGAATTCATTGAAGATAAAGAAAAAAGTGAAAGTGAATATTTTTGTCTTTACTTTATCAACTGGCAAATGCAATTTGACATGGACGAAAAAAGCAGTGCTGCCAAATTTTTTTCAAACATTGTAACCAGTTCGCCAGAATACCAAATTCAAATTCTGGTGTTAAAGAAAAGTAACAAAATTTACTTTACCGGTAACAGTGAGAATAGGCCTGTAAATGAGGAGTAACGAAGGGAGTTATAACGGTCGTTAGGAAATTACGTTGGATTTGGGATAAGTAGCGGAAATACTATAGCTACCGAAATTCAATATCCAGTGTTTGGAACAAAATCGAATGAATTTTCAGCAAACTCAACGTTATTTTGCCATTATGCAAACAACTCAAAGATATCTGGGAGTGCGTGCGATTTCAAAAACTTGATCTTTGATGGTGAAGTGACCGATTTTGAATATTTCGAAGATATTTAAATTTGTTCAATTGACATTTTTGCATTTTTCCTCTTTTGATAAGAAATGGGGTCAGCAACATTTCAGGAAAAATGAAATGCTTGTTGGCAGATAATTTTCATTTACGCACTAATACTCTCGCACTCGAGACAGAAAAATTCTGCGTTCATCGCATTAGTAAAATTTTATGAAGGCAAAAAAATCACAGTAGTGAGTAGCGAGCAGAAAAAGGGCGCTGTCTACTTGATTATCTACACAAAGAACTAAGGGTTCTTAGGCTGTAAGTAAAATTTTGTGGGATTGTAACAGTATTGTTTATTTTAGTAATATTTTCCATAAAGCGAAAATGTATTTTAAAATAAAGAGAAATTGGGAAACTTTTCGCAAAATTGGAGTAGAGCTGAGTTCTCAATTGGATATGTATGCCCGTTACCAAAGCCTTTAAAACAACTAGAATAATTACTACAAAACTTCGTTCCGGCTGCCGTAAAATATTAGCAAAACGGGAAACAATGAAAGTTATATTTTGGTTCAAAGAAATTTCCGTCTTATAGCTGCGAAAATAGCGGAAAATTTTGCAGAACGATATCAAAAACAAATTTGCAGTGATACAGTTAGAAAAATTTGGAAAACAGTTTGTTTTAAAGCTCGTTTGCATCCTCAAAAAATCGAATGAAGCATTTAGCGTTAAGCTATGAGCATATACAGCTGTTGACAATCAATTAGAAATGCTCTCTTCTTGTGAGTCGTTTTTGGTCATAATGGTAAAATATTCAAATTCACCGGTATATTTTCCTAAAAACAACACTTGCATTGTTTTTGTTACCCTATTTACTACACAATGGCCCGAAATTTGTAGCTGTGCATTTCAAGCACTAATATTACTTTCCCACTTTGTGCATGCATTACTTGGTGTAAAGTAAATAAAGTGCAACAGTTAATTAGAAACGATTGTTCAATAGTAACATATTCATAACGTTGTGTTGTTTTAGTGATAATTATATTTTTTTTTGGTTAGTATTTATCTAAAATGTGTTATTTAAAATCAATTAATATCTTTATTTCAAAATTTGTGAATACACAGCAGCTGTATACCTAAATTGCGCAGTTCTATTTTTGGCCATCTTAGAGCTGGAAAGTCATACAGTCAATTTGCGGAGCAAGTGAAATGTTCCAAAAAGATAGTTTTTAATGCCTTAAAACATATCCAGAATTTTGAAACTGTCGCACGCAAAAAAACGCTCCTGGAAAACTTCAGCAGGAATAGATCACAGGATAGCAATAATTTCGCGAACAGAACCAAAAAAGAGTTCCTCGGACGTTAAACATGAAATTCAGGATGAATTTACTGTTCAAATATCGAAAGGAATAATTGCACGGTGTTTGAAAAGAAAACGACGCGTAGAATTTGCCCATTCTCATTGGTGTTGGACCCAAAACCAGTGTAAGTATGTCGTTTGGAACTATGAAAAGAAAACTAATCGCATTGGTCCAGATTTTCGGGGATATTATCGACGGCCTATAGGCACAGAATATAATCCTCGGCATGTTTTACTCTGTATGCCGACGTACTGGCAAATGTCATGTTGCCTTGGGCTGAGGAGAATTTTCCAGTTTTAGGGAAATTTCAACAAGATAACTATCCAAATTGCAAAACAAAGTTAACGAAACAATTTGATGTCGAAAATTTTATTATGTTTTAGAATGACCATCATCAGCTCCAGACTTTAACTTTCTGGGGTGACTTTAAAAAAGTCATTAGTGTTAAAAAAATATCGTAAAAATGGATGTATTTTTTGAGAGGTTCACACCTAATAGCAAAAGATGGGTTATGTAACCAAATAATAACTAAAACTAAACATATTATCTTAATATCAATATTTTTTTCTGATAAAATATTTTCGTTTCTAATTAGAGGTCACACTCAATTCATGGATTTCACATGTTTTTGTGAAAAAATATCTAAAAATGAATTTTGAGTAAATTGCTTAGAATATGATTTTAAGCTTTGTATATGTTTAAATAAAATTAGAAAACAAATTATGTAAATGGGTGCTTTAAAGAGCAAATAGATCATCCAATTTAGCAAATAGACATTCCAATTAGATGTTAACAGTTGTATTTACATAAATAAGCCCTTTATCATTTTATGAATGAGTTCGGTGGCCTGATAAAACAAAATAATGCGTTTTTATAATAAAAATAAAAGCCGCCCGGCACAGCTTTGAATGTCAACAATCTCTCTGTGAGATGTCAATATGGTGGCGGTGGAGTTTTTTTTATGAGGTTGTATACCGGCAATCCTTGCTGAAGTACTTAACCCCGACGTTTAAGTAAGTTAAATACTCCACCACTTACTAACAATTATTATAACATTGCTACCTATTTTTAGAATTCACGAAGGAATATGCAATCTTTTACTTTTTATCAAACGAAATACTGATTAAAAGCATTGTATGTTATCTTTTATTACCAATGTTTGAATACACAAAAAAAGTATTTGAAAGAGCTTATTGAATTTTATTTCATGATGGAAGACTTGTTCTGGTTAGTGTATGTACATACATAGATACGTACATACATGTGTACGTAGCATGTGTATATGTGTAATGTATAATAATAATGTATAAATTTTTTACCTGCCCAGAATTTTGCTAACGCATCCATTGGATACCTGTAGAATGCGCGATATATCACAAGGACGCGCACCAGAATGTGCTAACTCTACGATCTTCTGACGAGTTGAATCGGGCAGCGGACGGCCGTTTACATAAACGCCACCCAGTTGGTTAATGCCGCTATGTCCCGCCGTCGAACAGCCAAAAAGAGCACTTTGACTGACGGACGACGCATGACCATGCATGAGATGTTCTGTAGTTAACATCATCATTTGAATGATGCTATTTTTCTTATACGAATGTATTGATATAATAGGTAACAGCGATAAAACAGTAAATATAAGAATTAATTCGCTTTATTCATTATTGAATTTATTTTACACGCAAATGTATTTTTATATGTATGTAAGTTTCAATTTTAATTTACCGTTTTTCGCTAAAAATTTTACTCAGTGAGTTTTGAGAGCAATAGGTTCAGTTAAAAATCAAAGTTGAAACTGATATCTGAATATATATGTACGAAAATAGACTTTTTCAACAATCGTAACAATTTTTCGATGTTTTGTTTTAGTTTTTGACTCACGTTTATGCGTTTTTTACATAATCACACGCACATACATTTAACTATGTATTGTATTTATATATATATAATTTCTTCAACTAAGAATACCGTTCTTTTAAATAGTTTTGATTTCAAAATTTCAAAACTTTGTCTCCTTTTTACGATTAGTTAGTAGATGTAAAAGCACACGGATTAAAGTATTTTAGGAGTTTTCCGTCGCTCTGAGTATTACTTAAATGTACATCAGTGCCGTTACATATTGGAAAGCAATTTCTTAAAAAATCGCTTTGTAAAACTTTCGTTGGCAATTTTTTCTTATCCTCGTTGATACCGTTTTAAAAGAAATTTTGTTGTAGTGATGTCAATATATTTTCGTCGTCATAAACTGTACAAAAAATCCAATTGCGGGCGCAAATTCTTAATATAAACGGGTAAATTTGTACATCGTCATGTATGGCTTTACATTTCTTTTCCTTTCAATCACAAGCGCTGTTGAAAATTAATTAATTATTAGATAAGGACAAATTCGTAAATTTCTAACTGAAGTTCAGTTTCATTAGTTTTTAGGTTTTACACTTTGGCTTCAATTGTTTTTATTTCTATCTTTTTTAATATTTATAATAATTTTTTTACCGCCGAGCCGTAGGGCGGACGGCGTATGACGTCAGAACGTCGAGTTCGTACTGGGATTTTGAATTTTTTTATATTTCACTAATAAACAAGTACAAAATTTTAGTGGTTTAGGCAATCAGATTCATCAGCCCGCTGATGTCAGCACAAGCAGCCGAACTCCTGCACACATAGTGTTATGATACGCGTGCATAACCACCGGTAAAGAAAAATTTGTGCTCGGAGCTTTTTCACAGTTTGGTGATTTTTGATTTTGGTTATTTGACTTGGTTTGACCTGGCGCGAGTCGTTTTACTTGGGCTAGCGCGTTTGCTGGCTCCTAGGCGATACAGCGCACTTAGCGAAGCGAAATGGTAATGAGCTCTCAAGCGAAATAATACACCAACAAACCAACGAACCAAATGAACAAGCTAACAAACACGAATGTATATATGTGACCAAACGACGACGAAGTCAGAGCGAATGAGTGCGAGCAGAGAAGCGACAGAAGTGTAACACATTATGTACTACACTTACACATTGAAATATTTAATTACATTATATATATGTATGTATCCCTATAGCAAAATTTTTAAGGCCTTGCCTTATGGAAGCGAGGAAGTAATGTAGACTTTAAGAAGCAAAAGCAAACACAAACTATCAAGAAATATAGAAAACTCCACGCGCTTGTTTGATTTTGCAAATAACGCAAGAACGGCGCACAAACATGTCGTGCAGATGCTTGTTAGTTGGAATTTTAGTCGCGTTTCGTCTTATGAGTGATTAACAGCAATGAATTGAGGCAACACAGACAGAATTTCCACCTTACCTCTTCGCTTTTAAGACTTTACTGGGTATGTTTATATTTATGGGCATGCTAAATGTGTCGACTGGGTTAGAAACAAATGCAACAGTGGGCAGCTAAAATTGTATGGCAAAATGCGAAGCGGCTACAATAATAATACTATAATTGACGGTGCAAAATGGCTGGAGTTTCGGCGGTGGCTCTTAAGAAACATACATGAGCCTATATACATAGCATGTATATGTAGGTGCAAATATATAACAAACAACTTAAAAATCTCAAATGTTAGACGCCGTGCGCGGTCCTCTCCAGTAGTTAATCCTTTTCAAAAAGAACAACATGCATTTGAATGTATGAATACAGAGTTGCCAGTTAATTTAAAAAAGAACTGAATATTGAGCCTAATATCTACATATGTATATATGCGGAATGAAATGCCCTTGGGTCAGTGATTGATTAGTACCCACCTCAAAAAATTAAACCTTTGGTTTGAAGAAATATCATATGTTTTGCCGACGTACAATAAATGAGAAAAATCAGAATACATTTCATTTGAAAGAATCTATTATTAATTAGTATTCAGTGAATTTTCGGCCGGCCGAGCTCTTCTTTCGATTTGTGGTGTTCTTTTTAATGTTTTTTCAACTCCTCATTTGTCGATGGTTTTTTTTATGTCGCAAATACATTGGGACGAACTTAACTGCTGCTTCACTTAAATACTGTGTATGGCGAAGCCGTTCTTCTTCCGGTCACGGGCTCTTTCTTTAATTTTAGCAGCAGCAAGCAAAAAAACTTTTATGCAGGCACAATTCTACATTTCACAAGTTGTTCAAATTAATAGAAAACATGGCAACATTTATTCATATATACACTGTATATACTTATATTTATATTCACAGATGAGGGTGGCTTGAAATTTCCTCTTTGTAAGTGCTGAACCAACCAGAGAACCAGCCTTGTTCGTTGCAGAAAAATACAATAAAACTCACGAATGAGCTGGACGACAGCTCCGTTAGACAATAAAGCATACACAACAGTGACACAAATAAACAGCTGCAACACTAACTAAACAATAAAGCGTACCAACCCATGTCTACGCTATCACAACATGGAATATACACATTCAACAAAAAAGGGGCAAAAACTGAGCCAAGTAAAAAAGGCATATTTTAGCACGAAAGAGAGAAATGTTTGGTATTGTTCATGGTGGAATCAATGCGAACATCAAAAAGAGTAAAATATATCTATGCAAAACAAATGCACCAATCCGTAACCGTGTGAAGTAATCTTGAGAAGCTGTGCTTAACAAAAGATAAAAAAGGACCAATGAGTCGATTGCTGTACGAAAAATCAGACCAGTGAGGAAGTGTTTTTGAATAATGGGAGGAATTTCACATCACGGGCGTTGACTTCGGGATAGAAATAGAACTGGATGAATGAAAAAATTGATAGCGAAATAAATATAGTTCATTCACTGTAGTATTAGTTATTTACGGACCCAATTTGTTTGTATATACATATGTAGATATGTAGGTACATAAAAATATATCTGTATATATGTACATATATGTATATTGGGATATAAAAAACAAGCAGCAAAAGGTAAGATCTTGGAAACGACGAGCTAAAGTGGAAACTGTGTCTTTGATGCCTGAATTTATCGCTGCAAATTAACACGACGATAACTTAGCATATGTATGCCGTCCTATTTTACTTTCCTAATATCAGTTGGAGTAAGAAAGCGTTCCACGTGGTTTCTTTGGTTATTGCACCTTAGTATTAAGCCCACAAAGTACGTGGTAATTTCAGTCCGTCTTAGCGTTCTTTATATTTACATTTATGACCGGGGAATGTCGCGTGCAATGTTTTCAGTTGAATGCTTTCTATCTGCGCTTAAATATGTAAATTTAATACTATTAATCCCTGTTATTATTTTATAGTACATACATTCAAAATTTACTAGATTGATATACATACATATTATGTAATATAAGTTAGTGTGTTGCTCATTAGCTTTTCCAAAAAATATAACGTTTTTGTTTGGTCTTAGGACAGTCTTTATTACTAGCTAAAATAGGAATAAACTTAAACAACCTAATTTCAACTATTTTAACTTATTAACTAACTACTGGCTTCAGCTCCGGCTTTTGGGGATTCCAGGAACTTAAGCGGTTGCCAATGCCCGTGGCGGATGTGTTGAGCATTGCACAACGTGACTGTATTGGTGCTGTTATTGATGGTTTCGACGGTTGATCTTAAGACTTACATACCTATTCTCCCTTTTACTTTTTTAACACCCGAAATTGAATTTGGTATTCTGGCGAACTGGTTACAATGTTTGAAAAAACTTTGGCAGCACTGCTTTTTACGTCCATGCCAAAATACATTTGACAGTTATCAAAGTAAAAAAAAAGAATATTCATACACGTATATATTTTTGCATTTCATTTGTTGTTGGAAAGCAAATGTTCCCGGCCTTTACTTTGACAATCAAATTTGAAATATATTGAATAGTTACAGTCTGAGCGTCCGTATAGTCTAGCATGTGCAATTCAGCGTATGCGGTGTGAAAACCGAAAATTATTCTAAAAGTAGATATTAACTTTTAATATTACGAATTGATTCTGTCAGAATAGTTGTGTTCCTTTCTTCCTTAACTATTTCCTTTCTAAATTTTTGTACTTTATTACAGATTAATTTTTACAAATATTATCATACATTATTTACTTTACATGTATGTAATATGCGCGCAGGGTATATAAGAGTAGGCGTTTTCTATATTTCAGGATTATTGGGCGTTCGTTCATATCTATTTACTTCCCATTTTGCATATTCCTTTACAATTTTTTTAAATTTCTTTGTCATTGCTGGAAAGTAGCACTTTTCTAAAATTTGTAATTTGTTCTCCGCTGCAGTTTCGGTAAGCCCTTTTATGCGTACTAATTATAATGTTTGCCCGCTGTTGTCCGTCTATGATATCCTCTATGAGTAATTCACTATATCTAATTTTGCATTTACTAAAATAATAGGGGTATGTGTTTAGTATTTTGCCCATTATTGATTCTTCTGCTTTAATGCAGTTTACTACTGGTGGATTAAGATATCTTTTAATTATAGATATTTAATTTTGCTCGTTATATCCTGGTTCAGTTGGAAAAATTATCCTGAAGTTATACGTCGAAATTACATCGATATGCAAAAATATTTGTTTTTTGAATTATTAAAGGGGGCTTCTATACATGGAATTAAATTTTGAGAGGATCTTTTCTCTGAATTTGTGGCTAACGACTTTTTGGTGGCGATCTGAAAAGTGCGTCCGCTACGACGTTAGAATTTCCAGGATTTTAGCATAGTTCGTAATTATACTCTTCGAGTATAGCCTTCCACCCTTTCATCTTGCTATTGTTATTCTTGTTACTCATCGCATATGTCAATGGCTGATTATCCGTGAATATTTTAACTCTTATTGAACAATAAAAATAGTTTGGAAATGAGTATAGAGACCAAATTTTAGCCAACATTTCTTTTCATTAGTGGTGTAATGCTCTTCCGCCCTGTTTAAAGTTCGGGATATAAATGCTATTGGTATGTTATTCTGAGATAGTACTACACAAACGAACTCGAAATCTCTATCAAAGTTTGGGTAAGCTAAAATAATATCTTTTGAAATAAGTGAATTTTTTAAAATGTTAAAGGATTCTATTGCTTCCGATTTCGAAATATATTGGTAGACGTGTAAACTCAAATTTACCATTATTTGTAAAAAATGCAGTTTTTTCTGTATTGCATTCTCTCAAAGGGATTTGATGAAATCTGCTTTTTGAATCTAGCACGGAAAAGAAATTACTGTTTCCTAACTGTGAAATTACTTCAGCTGTTTCCGGAATTGGGTACTTATCACAGCCGCGGTAGCCGAGCGGTTAGTTATTGAGTACTGACAATTGGAAGGCTCGGGTTCATATCCCGGTGCAATTAAAATCTAAAAGTTATGGAAAATTAATGAAAAAATAAAAAACTTAAGTTAAATTTTCTAATTGCTCGGTATGGAGCTCTCGATGTTCTTATGATGCCATCTTCTAATGATTTTATTTCGACGACTGATTTTAATGATATTGCATAGGGGTAAAATCTAGTGTAGACTGCGGAGTTGCATGCAGTTCGTATTTCTCCTATGACCTTCGTGGTGTAAATTAAAGTTAATTTTATCCATATTGGGTTTTCGTTTCGTATTATTGTGTTAATTTTTTATGTAATATTTATAGCATTTGTTGCTTGAGATGAGAGCTGTCTGAGCAATATTTCCCTCCCCTTAGAAATTGTCGTTTGTATGAATTACGACTTTTATCGCTGTGAGTGCATCACTCTCCAAAATTTCGTTAAATGAATTAAGTGTCTGCATTATATAAAATCTTATTTGCTCATCGAAGTTAAAGAGATTAACATAAGTATGTTGTTTCATTTTACCATCTCCTACAACAGATTTTGAATAAAATGAAGCTTAGCTTTTGAATACATTTTCTCGTAAGATGTAGTCGAATATAATTTTTACTAGACCCT